AGATAAAAGCTGGAAGGAGACAGTTTTGTTTCAGCAAGTAACTGCTGTAAATGTTCAGTAATTTGCATTTTGGCTAAAGCACCTCCTGTGGAAAGATGTCCAACTGTGCTCAGAAACATCTGGAGATGAGCTACCTGTAGCTTCCCATAGGAATTAGCTTCCCTGGTTAACCGCAGTCAATTTGAGAAGAAATGATGTCTTATTTTCTAATTTCCATCAGTGTGGCTTCAGCTTCCACTTATTGTGGACATGGCTAATGCACCATGCTTCACAGTGTTGCTGGCTCTGGGCCATGTCACTTGGAGTCCAGGGCAAAGCCACGGTAGATACACAGTCAGGAGTGGGAAAGGGCTTTGGGAACACAGCTCAGACCTGCTCTGGATCATGTGCAGCTGGTCCTGATATCCTTTCAATGACACTGTCACTTTGTAGCGTGTGAGGGCGATGAGGCACTGGCACAGATTGCCCAGACAGACTGTGGCAGGGGTGTTGGAATTAGGTGGTCTTGAGGGTCCCTTCTGACCCAAATTATTCTGTGATTCTAAAATGACTTGAGGCATTTTTGTTCATAGTTGGCATAGAGTTGTTGACTAAGAGGTACAGAGTGTTCATTTTATGTTCAGTGTAGACAATGAGTAGTGGTTCAGCTGCTTCTTCCATGGGTCCTGGAGAAAAGGTGTATAAAGCTCTACTTGTATCAACAGGGTTTTCTCTGCTGAGCTGGGTTTCTGTGTTGGCATGTGGAGGAATAACCCTGGTGTTGCCCCAGGTCTATCAATAGAAACATCCAAGGAGGCTGGAAAACTTATTTAAATTGCAATTTTTAGAAAAAGCCTGACTGCTCTGAACACCCTGCTACTGGGCTGTAGGGTTGTAGGTTGCCTCCATAACACCACCTGGTCGAGGATTCTGCAACTGCATGTGTGGTTCCTGCTTCATCTCCTCCTTGGCCAATTCTGTGCCTTTGCAATGTGATATCAAAGCTGTTTAGTGAGAACCGAGCTGGAGAACAAGGGCAGCAGATCCTGTCCTCTAAGAACAAAGTATTTTGTCTGACCTAGAGGCAGACAACTGTAGGATCTGCAAGCAAGGAGCCATTTGCTCCTGGATGGGGTGCAGCCTTGTGATAACGCGAGCGTAGTGAGCCCATGCCAGCTTCCTGTGGTACAGGAGCCTCCTAGGTGGAAGTGAAGGAGAGGAAGAGGTTTGGGGTAGGGAAGAAAGAGCCTTTCAACAATATTTGGTCCTGGCCAATGCACTTTCAATCCTTCTCCCTGTTGCAGTGCTTAGAGCCCTGATTGTTACCAGCTGGCAGGAGCTGGAACACCTGTACAATTCTGGAGGTGAAAAGGGGAGTCCACAACACCTCTGAGTCATAAATCTGGCTCAGTTCTCCAACAAAATAGTTTCCTGTTGAACTCCTTTGTGGCAGGACTGAGGTTGGGATCAGACCACTGTTTCAAAAAATTTTGCTCTTCTAAGAGTGGTGAGTGCAGTTCCCCTTCCCTGCTCACACATAAACATATGCATGTGCCAAGTGTGGGGTTATTTGTTGAAACCAGACATGAAAACACCCAGTTCTTGTGCTCCTGGAATGTCTGAGCTTGGTGCAAGAAGGCAGACAGTAATTGGATAGCCCTTGGGCATTTTAATATGGCAGAGCTGAAGCTCAGCCTGGTAAGCATGAAATGCTGCAAATTAGAGAGAGTAATGAATTTTAACACTGCCCTAAGAACATTCCTCCTGCCCCTTCCTCTTAATTATTTTGCAAGGCTCTTTTGTGACTTTTTTTAAATGATCCTGAACAGTATCCCTTCTCCTTCTTCTTGGTGTTTCCTTTGCAACTCAAATCCACCTACATCTCATCATGCCAGAGCAGCCCTGCAGTGAGGACAGATGACTGGCTAGGTGACAGTCACTGTGGGGTGGGATAGCAGGGCAAAATTGGGGCAAATTTGGCATCAGAAAGGCTGAAGCTCCTTGGCTGAGTGGACTGCAGTCCTGTTCTCATAGGGATGGACATTGCCCAGGGTGTCTTGTGAAAGTCAGTGTGGTAAGGGTCATTGGAAAGCACATCTCCGAGCTGTGGGGTGGAGCAGTAATTTTATGAATGAGCAGCCAAGTGCCAGCCCTCGGCCACAGTACAGTCTGTGGAGCAGCATCCAGCATCTCCTGCATCAAACCCATAACTCCTGACTTAACTTGAGTGTGGCTTTTAGAAAGGCACCAGATCTCCCTCCTTTCCAGGTTTCCTTCCAAAATCTCACTGGTTCTTTCTGCACAACCTCCCATGGAAATATCCTTTCTAGTCTGTCAGCCCAGCTTATGCACTAGTCCAAGCAGTTTATCTTGTATGTTAGCTAACAGCATCCTCCTCCTCTTTCAGCCTCTTGTATTCCTGCAGAAGGCAGTTGCCAACCATCCTTTCCCAGCACTGCTGCTTTACCTGTGTCTCTCTGTAGCAGTGAACACTGTCACTGTAAAAGTCCTGCCTGATTGTCACTCAAAAGGAGCTCGTTCCATGCCAAGATGGCCCCACTATCTCCCTGGATGCATCTTCCTTGTCCTTCTCCCCTTCCTCTGCTGGAGGTCTGGAGGCCAGCTCAGGGTTGGACTTCGACGATTTTTGAGGTCTCTTCCAACCTGGTTGATTCTATGATTCTGTGATTCCCTGGCCCTCTTTGCTAGGTGGATTTCACTACTGGGTCCATCCCCTGACTGCTCAGTGAGGCTGTCAGCTTTTCTACAGGGAGTAAATCTGGTGTATTATTTAGGTTTTGATATTGGGCCATTTATTTGTAAAGCTTTTCTGAGGACAGGTGATGCACCTGGGCCTCTTTGTAGTACCTGGGATGCTACAAAGCATCTGGTTCTGATGAGAAAATCCTGTGAGCATCACTATAAGCCCTTTATATCACAGCACCTCAGTGCATCACTGAGCTGCCTTCAAAGGCTGCTGTGTGAATTAATACCTGTGTAACTGGCCCTATACACAGGCCAGGTCCTGTCCTTGGTTTCCAAAGAGAGCAGCTCATGCACTGCACAGGAGGCAGAGCTGTTCTGTCTCTGACCCACAAGCTAAGGTGTTATAAACTATAAAATCTTAAATCAGCAATCCTGGAGGATCTTCACTATGCTCACTGTGCTCTCAGGGTAGGTGGATTCTTGGCCATCCAGTGTCTCCTCATAGGAGATGCATCTATGCCTGGTGTCCCAGCCCATCCTATACAGTCCTATGCAGTGGTTCCTCTCGCAATTCAGATTGTGTTTAATTAAAGGCCTAATTGCCCTTTTTTACAGTTATTTGCAGTCGCTGCATCTCAGGCCATGGAGGTGGGACACGCTGGGTGATTCGGAGAAAGGTGGCAGGCTGGCACAGAGCACCCCACAAGCTGCTTTAGCGACTGATCCTCAGTAGCAGAGACCTGTGGAGCAGCCAACAAGGGGATTATTTTGAGTTCACTTAAGCTGTGAGTAATGAGCACTTGTGCTGCTAATCAGGGTGATAAATGCTGTCAGTTAAAACCTGTACTTTGCTCTTCCGCTTTGCACAAGTGAAGTGTTTTTGTCTCTGCCAGAGTATAGGAGGCTGGCTGGATGGTTGATGCTCTTGGAGCATTGCTCTGATCAACACAGGCATTAGTTTAGCTCCCAGACACCTACTTTCCTTCAGCTCATCCTAGTGATTCATTGACAAGGGATGTGACACTGCTCCTAAACTGATGCCCAAGTGTAAGTGATTGTATAATCCCTGGCATTTTGGATGTTTACAAATTAGCTGCTTCCAATTAGCTCTTTTCATAACTTTGGTATCCCACCAGATGTGATAATACTACAATAAGCGTATGGTTTCTATATGTCTCACTAGGAGCAATGTGAGGTCAGCTTGCTGGATGCATCTGCTGCTGGATGGGACATTCTTCATTTTACCATGTTGGGAGATCACAGTTAGGAATATGTCACTTAAGGACATGGTTTAGTGGTGGACTTGGCAGTGCTGCGTTAACGATTGGACTAGGTGATCTTGGAGGTCTTTTCCAACCTAAACAATTCTGTGGTTCTATGGTTATGTTGCACACAAATTCCCATTTCTTTAGGAAACCCTACTAGACATTTCCAGACTAGGATCACTAATGGTCAGTATTTGAAAAAGGACATCCCATTTCGGGGAGAGATAAAGATTGTACATGGCTATTATAAATAAATACAGAGAAACTTTAGGGGAAGAGCTTCAGAAAAAGTCTGTGATTAAGTAGGGGGGAACAATGCAGAGCACCACCTTTCCTTGTGCCTTCTGTGGGGACAAGGTGACTGGCACTGCAGGGTGGAGGAATGAGGACCTGAGCAAAGGGGTTGGTACTTGGTGACCAAATGGCAGGGGTGGTGGAGCAGTGATGGAGAGGTGCTCTTCCCTCTCTCTGGAGGGCATTTGGGCAATGGTTTCCTGCTGCCATCTGGATTGCTAAATTCACATCTCTGCCCTGGAAACAAGACGCTTGTCAGGAAAGAATAATTAATCCAGAAACAAGTGGCGCTCTGCCAGGAGGCCTTTTTTTAATTAAAACCAGATCTGATCAAGTCTACTGAGGAACTGACAAAATCATGAAACATATGTCCATGATTCAAGGCTGAATTATGGGGGTGCTCTGGATAGGGCTTAGTCCTCCCAAACTTGTGCGCACACATCTTGCTGGAGGTGTCTTTTCCTCCTTTGCCTCTGAGGGCTGTGTTTTTCCCAAATGAGCTACAAACTCACTAAGATGCAGGACACCAGTGACCATCTACTACTATGCTCGTTTTGGTGGTGTTTGGCCAACTCGGGGGGTAAATGAGCGTCCCATGTTCAGGGGATCAGCAAGGTACACTTGGGCTTAGCGGTGGTTATCTTCAGCCACAGTATCTTGGTCCTGCCACTCAGATGCTGCAGAGGAGTGTCCCTGGCCAGACCCTGCTGCATCTCACTCCCACTCTGCCTGTCCTCCCAGAGCCGGTGGGGAAGGATGTTTTCCTCCGTGAAGCCATATGAGAACCAGCGCTACGCATCTCTGAAGAAGGAGTGTCAGCGAAGGAAGCAGCTCTTTGAGGACCCACTTTTCCCTGCCAATGACGACTCACTCTTCTACAAGTCAAGGATTCAGGGCATCCAGTGGAAGCGACCAAAAGTAAGTGCACCTATCCCTTTGCCCCTCCACACTGCTTTCTACCAGTATTCCTGAAAGTGCACAGTGCATCCTTCACTGAAGCTGTCAAGTCCAAATCAACACCTCTTATTCCCAATAGGGTTTATTTCACCAGACCTGGTATTGTGAGCCTGTGGGGTGACAGGGAGACCTGTTGCACTTAGGTCCAGGCTTTTCTGCTCCCAGTGAGGTCCAAGAGCAAAGGATGCTTCTCTTGTGTCTCAGTCTCCCCATGCATAAATTAGACAGGTGGTTTGCAGCCACATTGATAATTGTGTACTCCTGTGAGGGCTGATGGATCCATCAAGGCAAAGTGTTATCTCTGAGTTACAGAATGGTTTTGGTCAGAAGGGACCATAAAGATATCTAGTTCCGACTCCTCTGCCATGGCCAGGGACACCTTTCACTGTAACACCCTTGGTGGTCCATTTGGAAAGGGAAAAGAAGATAAGCTTTGGATAGCTGAGGTGATTTTGGGGTCTTTGGGGAAGTGAGTGGTCATACCCATCCTTTCTCTCCTGTGCAAAACCCATGTCCTGTGCAAAAAGTCCTCTGCATCTCCTCCATGCTTCTGTGTCTGTTATGGGGGCAGGTTGTGGAAGGCTGGTGGTAGTATTGCCTGTCCCTAGTACTGCCAGTCCCTCTTCTACTATCCTCAGTGCCTGCCCAAAGGATGCACATCTGGACGTGAGGACAATATGGGGAATTTGTATGTCCTCATATGGCCATCTGCATGGGGTTGATCATGAGACCAGTGCTCTTGACTGCCGTGAAGTACAAGGAGTCCCAGGGCGCAACGGTAATTGTGGTTGGGGAGTGGCAGTAATCCAGCATCTAACACATCTGGGTTTCTTTCCTTGCCTGGGGGGAGAAGCAGCCCTCTCTGCCCAGCCCATGCTTTCCACATGCAGCTTGGTGGCATTTCAGCGTGGTAAGATTGCCTGAGCTGCCATTGCCATCTTCGCCCCCGCTGACAGCCCAGAAACTCAGCTGACCTTTCCGGAAGACAGTGCTGCATCTGTCTGGGCAAGGACAGTCTGGTGGGGGTGGACAGAAAGGCTTTGTGTGAAGGGAGGAATGGAGCTGAACTGACCCTTTCTGTGTAGCTGGAGGGGCTGAGGCCCCCAGCATTCTACCAGGCTCCTTGTGGAAGGAGGTCTCGTGTCCCTCTGCTCTGCTTCGGGCCCTCCTGCACTGCCTGGACACAGGCTTTATGCAAAGTCCTGTGTGTGTTTTAGTTTGTTGCACTTGTCTGCTGGAGAGGAAAGATGCTCTGTGCACATCTGCCTTCTGAAGACAGAGCCCACCATGGTTTGTTCTCACTATGAGGGAATAACACACCTTGAACATTCTGTTTATACAGGGTGATGCCTTGGACTTTCTAAACAACTTTCTCTAGGACTGAAAGGTGAGGATGTATTTGAGACCCCCGTGCTGGTTTGAATTCAGGGACACACGCCTTAATTCAGCCCTATGTCTAATGACAGAGGGTTGGATCCAGTTGTAGATGGGCAAAGTTTGCTTGTCTTCTGCTGAGCATCTCAGAACTTTCCTCCATCTGCTTTTCCAGCTTTGATCTGATGTGCAGCCCTTTGTGTTCAGGCAGGTATTCTCTCGCTGCCTTGCTCCACAGAGCATGAGGTCTTTCTAAGAAAGCTTTCTGGACCTCCTGGTCTGGTCCAAACCCATACCTGCTGAAGCATGGAGCGAATTCAAGCTCTTTCCAACCAGCCAGTTCTGCAGTTTCATGGGATCGTAGAACAGTTTGGGTAAGAAGAGACCTTTAAAGTTAAAGCAATTAGAAGAGGATGATTGAGCAGGGATTCTTTCTGGCAGGGGCTGGCAGTGGGAATGGGGGCTGGAAGTGGATCCCACGTGCCAGCAAGGTCCTGTACGCTTAACTAGGCATGGAGGTGGTCCCTGCTTTGCTGACTCTGCATCAGACAAAGGGAACTTTGCCAGCAGTTTCGGCACCAAAAGGAGTACATGCTGAGCAGTAGCAGACTCAGTGATGCCACTGTCTGGTAGGATTGTTTGATCAGACCTGCCTAGCTGCCTTGAATGCAAAATCGCCATTAAAAAGAATAAGAATTTGAGCTCACACCTACCCTGCTTACTGGTAAAGTTTCCAGAAGCCTCTTTCTCTAAAGCATTTCTCCAAGTTCTTTTCTCTATAGTTCATTTCAGCAAAAGTAACTGATTTTCATGGGGAGAGCTGCTTTGTGCCAGACAGCCAATGCAAGGTGATGTTTTTAGTTGCTGGACCCAATTCTGCCTGAATTCATACTGGCTCTCTAGGGGAGAGAGCCCAGAAAAAGATCTCAGCATCTTCTTCAGGAAATCAAATGCAGTGCCTCTGGGTGTCAGGGATCTTGATATATATCTCACCACTCTTCTGTCTGCAAGAGACCTGGGAATCACCATTGGCTTCTCCTATTTAATGCAGGATTTAGTAGGCTCCAAAACATCCAGGAGGTTCAAATCAACCATTCTGCTTGTGTGGTAATGGCACGGTGCAGTCATTAAACCACATTAAGTCCCTATAGTATCCTCTTTCTGTTACACCAGCAAATCTTTCCTTAGGCAGTCACAGTTTATTCTTGTTCAGAAAAGACAAACAGTGATACTCCCAGTTTTTGACACATGCTGTTTCGGGGATTTCTTGACCCAGAAGGGGAGTCCTCAGTCTCAGGGATGCAGGGAGGGGATGGTATGTACACACTTCTATCTCTCAGGGCCATAGTCATGGGCTGTTTTGGAGAGTTTGAGCTGAAACTGTGTGATAAACATAAGAGCTCACCGTGTCTCTGGCTTTGTTGTGAAAACAGAGTGGGTGGAGAGTGGAAATAAAAGCTGTCAGCTATTAAAAACAACCATTTGCTTGCTTGGAAAAGTTGTCCCTTGTGATCTGTGGAAAGAAGTGAGATGTAGCAGATAAGTTTTGTCCAGAGAAGCCGTGGCTGCCCGATCCCTGGAAATGTTCAAATCCAGGTTGGACAGGGCTTGGAGCAACCTGGTCTGGTGGAATATATCTCTGCCCACGGCAGGGGGGTTGGAACTAGATGATCTTGAAGGTCCTTTCCAACCCAAAACATTCTATGATTTTTCAGGCAAAACACTTGTGTGTGGAAAGTAACTGTAGTGAAGTCACTGGGGTGCTGGGAATGCTCTTTGGCAGACACAGGATCTCATTTCCGTATACTTAAGTGGCACTACTATGGATTTAAACAGCCCATCCCCTGTGTGTGCATGCCTTCCTTCCCAACGATCCTTTCTGCTCCTCCATGCACTCCCAAAGCCTGAGACTGCTTTGACAAAAAACATTCACAGAAGCAAGCAATCTCTGCAGCACTCTCACTTATGTTTGAGATTTTTCTGGACAGAGGGGAGAAGGGCAGGCTGAGGAACAGCTCTGGTCCCTTCCCTGGTCAGCCTGTCTTGCTGCAACTTCCTCCTGCATCCGGTGCTGTAACCCTTCCTGGAATGGGCTCAGCCTTATTGATTCCAGCAGGGTGTCCTCTCTCCCTCCTCCCTCCTTCCCTCCCTCCCTCCCTCCCTGTGTTTCCTGGCCTCCAGCCCTACTCTGGATGCCAGATCTTTGCAGAGAGAGCAGCTGTTTGAGCCCTCTAATCGGGTTTTGGCTTCAGTGGTTGTTTGCTGGATGTCTTTGTGATGCTGCACGGTGAAGCCAGAAAGCTAATTACTGGAGTGTTTTGGAGGGAGGGAAGCAAGCCACAACATCAGCCTGAGTTGAGAAGGGGGTCCTGAAGAACCTTGTTTTAGTGGATCCTCTTAAATATGAGACTGACTTCTCATTGCTGAGCCAAAGCAGATTTTTGGAGCTGGCTAAAGTGGCGTTGGCAGCTCTTTCTGTCAGCTTGAATATTGCATTAGAAATTAAACTGAGATTTTTTGGGCTAAGTCCAAATCCTAGCACCTTGCTTGAAACTCCTTTCTGTTGTGCTCTGCCTGCTGTCATGTTGAAGGAGAGGGAGATCTCTGTATTCAGGCAAGTAGTACCACTCCCAGTGGAAATCTCAGCCTGATCCTTAAGCTCTGAGTTTTGTCTTCCTCGTTTGGGACAGGAATGCTGGCAGTGCACCTTGGGGGCAGGAGGTTTGGTCTGTGCATTGGGTGAGCTGGTCTGGTGTTTGGGGGGTGGCTAAATAGGGAGGGGTGGCACAGATATGAGGGAAGGGCACCACGGACAAGGTGCAAGATGGGTGGCAGTAATAAGGGAAGATTTCAGGCACCTACTGTCTGTTGATCCCTTCTGGAAAAGGCAGTGATGGTCTAAGGTGGAAGAGACTCATCTACACAGTTAATCTCTTCTAATCATCACTGTCTTAAACTCTCTTCCTGGGTACAGGGTGCTTCCAGTGATGCCATGGGGTTGGTACAGGGTTCAGTTAGGGCCTTTAGTACCTCGGGGCCTTATCCCAGGCTTGTTTTCTCTCTGCAGAGAGAACCACGTGGTTCAGGTTCATCCCACCAAGCCATGACCTGCTGCTGGGACTGGTCACCAGCCAGGACAAATTTGGGCATCACTGTGCACCTGTGGGAAGCAAATGAAGCTTGCTGGGAGGCTTATGCCATGCACAGATGTGATGTTGGACCACATGAGCTTCATGCTCTGGTCCTTCAGCTCTTCCCAGGGAACAAGGTTGAGCCTGGAGGTTTTTTCCTCCCTGTTCTGGGAGGCAGGTGGGCTGCTGTGTGCTGAGTGCATTCCTGTCCAAAGCAGTTTGCTGCAGGACCTTGCAGAAGTGCTTCATAGTGCCTTAGTGTCTTTCCTAAGATGCTGAGTGGGTGGGACATGAGATCCCAAAGATGCTTGAAGGGGACCAGGTGGGAACACAGTTGCAAGCTGTGCCTAAGGTGCTGTAATGAGAAGCTGTGATGAAGCACAAGTGTTTCCAAGCAGGCTGTTATCACAGTGACTGGGTGGCTAAAGGTGGTGATAGTTGAACCTGAGCTGCACT